AGGAAAAGTTGTAGCACTTGTGAGGCTGAGGCAAGAGGATATTACATTCAAGCCAGCCTGGGCTACATAGTGAGAAGGCCCTGTCTCAAAAAACCAAAAATAAATAAAGGAAACTTATTTAACCTATAACTGAAAGTTTTCTTAAAAAAAAAAAGAAAAGAAAGAAAGAAATAGTGAATAGACTTTTAATATCACATCTAAGCAATTTTCTAATAGATTCACAGTCTCCGCCACTAGAGACAACAGGAAAAACATGCAGGAAACTTCAGAACAGACTGGAAAGCTTGCAAACCCTGGTAGAAGACTTACAGCTGAAGAACCAAGGTACAGTACAAGTTTTGGAGAGTTTTCCTTAAGAATATTTACCTCCCCTTCAGGCTAAGCCCACTTGAAAGCATATTGAATTAGCAATTCAGAAACCTTAGTCAAAATATTAGGATCTTAACACAATCAAGTCCTAAACCAGTCTTTTGACCTTGGGCAGGTCATGTTAGCCCTGCTGTGCTCTTATCTAATAGGGATATTGAGTAGTTTTTCACATGGAACTTTCCCACACACTTTCTTGTCCCTGTTACTTCTGTAGAAAACCATTTGTATGATGTTAGCCAGGATAAAATTGTAGTCTTATAGACAGATAACAACATGATAGAGTATTTGGCTTACACAGGATTTAAATTACCATAGGGTTGTATGATACCCAGTGAATGACCCACAAAATAAAAAAGATAATGCCACTTCTAAAAGTTCTAAAGCCATTTGAGCCAGAAACTATTATAATCTGCAAGTGATAGGCCTAAATTCTAATTACCACAGATATGGGAGAGCTCTCATGTTTCATGCTTTCTGACATAACTTCAACAAATCCAGGAATCTTTGTCAGAGCGAAGCTAATTTTGAAGTACATATTTAATATTATTCTTATTCCATCTTTCTGTCCATAGAGTTGTTGGATGAAGGAAAATATTTTTCTAAGAACAAATATTTATAAAATAAATTTGGCCTTAATGATAGTTGCTGCTAGTATTTACTTCCTAATTATGTGCCAGACTCTGTGCTCAGTGTTTCACTTATGTCTTCCTCGTGATCCTCATGACACTGGGAGTGGGTGCTGCTATTACTGTCCCTTGAAAATGAGGAAACTGAGGAGAAGAGCACAGAGATCAGTTCTCTTGTCACACAATGAGTAGTAGAGGTGGGGCTTGGTTCCTGAAGTTTCTGACTCCAAACCCCCATCTTTGTTTAATACACTAAGGTTGTATCATATTATTAAAAAAAATTCCAAATCCCTTGTGATCCTTTTAAAAAGGAAGATGCATTATTTTATTGGCCCTATTTTTAAAATTTCTAAATATTTTATTTTTTAATAAAAATTTTTATTAGGATATATTCATTATATGGGGGGCATTCATAGTGACAATTCAATTAGGCTTATATTGTACATTGGTTAAATCACCCCCAGCCTCTCTCCCCCTTGACCCCTTCCCCACCCTGCTTAAAAGCAATTGCAAGAGGTTTCTTTGTTCTCTTTCATATAAGTATATGAAGTCCATCAACCATACACCCTCACCTTAATCTCCCTCGTTCATCATCCTCCCTCCTACTACTGCCCCCGACACACACACTGTACCTATTTTATCTACTGTCCTTCATTATTAATATTTAAGTTGATGTTCAAAAGGGTGTCTCAGTCTATCCTGCAGTGGGTATACTTTACTTTGGTCCATTCAGCCACTTCCATTGCTCTCTCCCTTACCCCTTTTCCTCCCACTCCCCATTTTCAACAGTTTTCAATACACATCTTTATATCCTTTATCCTTTTACAATATTACTGATGCTCTATCATTCTCTTTTCCTTTCCCTCTTTCCCCTATTGGCTCTATTTTTATTCACAGTTTGACTTGTATTTCTGAGATCATCTGACTTATACTACCATTTAATAATTTAATGGGAAACATGCTATATTCGCTTAAAAGTAAAAGTACCTTTGTATTGGCTACAATTCCTAGATGGGATATTTCTTGGAAATTCTGAATAAATATTTTTGGAGAGAATTTTGGGAACATTTATCAAAATTTAAAATACACAACCTGGGATGTGCTTAGTGGGAGAGCACTGGAAAAAAATGATAGTACAAATGCAAAGAAGTCTGTATACAAAACTACTTAAAACAGCATTGTTTATAAGGAGAAATAAGGAAATAACTTTAAATTGTATTTACTAACATTTTCTTTAACAAAATACAGAACAAAACAGGAGTGAACTGGAAAGTTGTTGACATTTGGTTAAATGGGAAAAGAAGCTACACATATTTCCATTGTGTAAAGAAGAAAACTCATGTGTATGCATGTGTGCACGCATGTGCAGAAATTTGCCATATTGTTTATGATGTGACCTTTCACCCCAGCAGATCCAGAGAATGGGGACAGATTGACTTTCATCTCTCTTTATTACACTCCTGAGGTGTTTGAATTATGCACATTTGATCTTAGCCTGCTCATTTGAAAAAAAACCAAGAGAGTAAAGATTTATCCTTAAATCTGGTTCATAGTACTGTCCTTTCAAAAGTATGTTACATTGAAAATTTTCAGAATTTTTTGAACTTGGAACTAAAAAACTATCTGAAGCTCGGAATGTATCTGTTCTTTACTGCTAACAAGCTGATATTTTAAGTACACATTCTAAGAGTTCAAAACCTCTAAGAGTTTAAAACCTAAGTAGATTTTGTTAGTCTAACTATGTTTTGTCAACATTTTCAGCAATGTCTTCAATGATCAGAAATCAAGAAAAGAGGATTCAGAAAGTGAAAGACCAGGAAAAAATGTTGCTAAAATGATGATTTGCTTGCCTATTCTTTACAGAGGGATGATGCCCAATTAATTGTGGTGTTACTTATAATTAGTGCCCTGTGTACTTTTTTCTTTTTATGTGAAAATTTAATAAAAGATACCCTGTCCTGTAAACACTATTTTGAAATAAAATGTTTTTAAATACTCTCACAGTAAATTCAAACAGTACTAGAGACATTTGAAAATTTTTATACATTATAAGTTATTAAATTATCCTGATTCCAGTATATTGGAATAATTGCATTCTTTTATTATCTTTACTGATTCTAAGACAGTAGAGTCTTTTTTTTTTTTTAGCTTAAAAGAATCCTGAGAGAAAAAAAAGTCTACATTCACATAGAAGTAAAGTGGTAGAATGCCAAGAGCAGAAGAACAAACTCCAGCATACTGACAGGGCCTCCCTTTTGTGACCCTGAACTCACTGTTTGTTCTGTCAATATTAGTGAAGGTAATCAGATATCAAAACTTTGGAGCCCCCAATCAAAACATTTACAAGTCTCTCTTTTTGCATTTTAATTAAGAAATAAAATATTTTATTACTCTTTAGTAAGTGGTTGGGTAACTTCTAGATTGAATTCACTCTGCCTTAATTAGATTTTAATACATTTGGAGGTATTTTTATGTGAACCAAATACAATGAGATAAGAGCAACAGATCAAAAATGTTTCATTTGTCCCAAAATATCAGAGGCAATGTAGTAGAAGGCTGCTGTCCAAAAAATGGGTGCTCCTGCTCCCCCCAAGCTGGAGGCTCTGCTGCCCAGTCCTACCTCCCTCACATCTAAGTCTGGCCACCTGGCCAATTCTCACTAATAGAATGGAACCTAGACAAAAACTGTGTGGCACTTTCAAAGTCAAAAGCATTAATAGGCATTTTGGGTTTTCCTTACTTTCTTTCCCTCTCACAGCCTGATGCAGAGGACAAGAAGTGTCCTTGGGATGGCAGAACCACAGAGTAGAAGGGGGTCTGGGGGAACTGATTCTCTTCTAAGAGGAGAGCTGCCCTGCTGCCAGGAAGACCCACTGTTGAATGGTATAGGGTTAAGAAATACATGTCTGGTGTTGCCTCCTTATATGGATGGCCAGTTTCCTCCACTAACAGGAGTCCTAACCCAGCAGACAAGACTAAGGACTATCTCAGGAAAAGCCTGTTGCTGCTGTCAGTGACAGTTCACACTCATCATGTCCAATTTACAATGATATTTTAAAAGCTTAACAGTCTATGCATCTCTTAAATCAGTAGGCTTTAGTGAAAGATCAATTTTTATTTCATCAGGTAATTGATAACATGACTAGTGATAGAATTCTAAAGAGATTTTCATTTAAATTGTTTTACCTTTAATTTTACATCATAGTGATACTAGGGCCTTCTGGAGAATAATAGCAAATGCCCTCTGCAGACCTTACTGTACAATATAAAGTTCATTGTGAGGTGTGTAAGCAATATATGTGAATTTAATGGAAAAGTGATATGAGCTACAAATTGTCAAACATCGTTCTTTCTGTTAAGCACTTTGTAGTCTTATCAGTTGAGTTCATGTTCTTTTCAGCAAAGGCCATCTTACCAGGATTAAATATTGTTTTGCCAATAGATGTTACATTTATTAAAGATTATTTTAACATAAAAGAATTTATTTTCAAGCTGGGCACTGGTGGCTCACACCTGTAATACTTGCTACTTGGGAGGCTGAGATAGTTTGAGGATAGCCTGAACAAAAAGTTCTTGAGACCCCATCTCAACAGAAAAAAGCTGTGCATAGTAGTGTGTACCTGTCATCCCAGCTACAATGGGATGATGGGTCATGGTCCAGGCAAAAAGCAAGACTCTGTCTCCAAAATAACCAGAGCAAAACGGGCTGGAGGTATAGCTCAAGCAGTAGCTCACCTCAGAGATCACTCAAGCACAAAACCCTGAGTTCAAATCCCAGTGTAAGAATTCATTTTCAAGTCAGGCATGCTGAATTCCCCTCTAAGCAAAGGTAAAGTTTTAAAAGAAATATCTAAATTTTTCTCCAAAGAGAGGAGAAAAACAGACTTTTCATGTGCCTTCTTATATAACTTTTGATACTTGCTTTTCTGTATGTGTAAAATACTGCACATATTTTATTTGACATCTAGCTTATTATGGTTCTAAGACAAATAATTCAGACATTTAATAAAGATATTAAAACTCCAGTTTTATTATTTGTCCAGTTATAATAAATGTTTATTTCATGTTAGAGCAAAGATGTAATTCTGTATCACAGCCCTGTATAAGATAGTTACTGGTATGAAAGGAGAGGAAAGAGGGCCACAGATGGACAACAGCAGCTACAGGATAGTGCATCTCTCAAGACCTGGTTAGACAACCAGTGCAGCAGTAAGGAGACAGTCCTGTGAGGGCTCTCATGGGTAAAGGATGGATGCAGTCCTCACTGGAGCCATACTGGACCTCTCCAGCCTCAAAGAGGTGAACTTCAGGCTGCGTCACTCCACTCCCCTGACTGACTTCCTTGAAGACTAACCTGGATTCAGCCCTTTGTGTCCACACCAGCCTTAGATCATTAAGACAGATTTCAAATCCAAGTAAAACCACACAAAAAAACAGCGGGAGCCTTAGAGCAGTGCCACAGACCCTTACTAATCACATTTTCTGATCACAGTTCCATACGGTGTATGTAGTAAAGAATGTTTCTGAAGTCCTATTTTACTCTCACTCTGAAGAGCTCCTAAGGGCTCAAGCTTGTACTCATGCAGCTGGTTATGTGCTCCTTGACCACAGTCCACACTGGAAGCTTAGCCAAATCACTCCCTGAGAGGTTCAAGCCCTAAAGTAATGATGTATCAGAACAAACCAATCAGTTGATGCCACAAGGGCAAAAAGTCCATGCTCACTGGAAGCATTAGTTGCATGCATACATATATATATATATATACCCATATATATCTACACACATACATACATATGTCTCCACATTAGACAAAAGCCACTGGCAAATTCGAAACAACTCTGATGGCTACATTTGGAGTTGCACGGCCTTTATTTTAAATTATTTAGTGTGCTCCACAACCTTAGTCTCTTCCACATTCTGCAACAGCCTCTCGAATACTTCACAAACTGAATCATGGAATCCCCCACCACCCGTGTACCACTCTGTCCTCATGGCCAGTCTCTAGGAGTCTATTGCTACACTCTTCCCAGCGTGTAATTTCCCCATTCTCTACCAGCACAAACTTCCACTCCACCACTGTATTTGCTGGCAGGAAAACAGAATGAGCCCAGAGCCCGTCCTCATGATAGTGGAGTGGAATGTAAGTGTTCCATCTCCCAAGACACTCATGGTCTCCAGTTACTGCAATGAATTGCACCTTGGTGCTTGTGGTATAATGCACCTGGAACTTGATGCTAACTTGCTGAGGCTCTGAAGACATGGCCTTCCCATCTGCTACCCAACCTCTTGCTCCCACAAAAGTGCTCCTGCCACAGTCCATTCCCTGGCTTAGGCTTACCCCAGAAGTCTCAAGACTGCCACCCAAGCCAATGTCCCCCCAGGATGAGTGCCTAGATACCATTTCCCAATCCTCGTGGTCAGCTGAGTCCTGACTGCCCAACTGTGCAAGGTTCCCTTCTTTAGCTCTGTCCATGAGCGGACCGCTAGAGGGCAACTTCTCTGCGAAGCATGTAGCTGCTTTAACAGGTGTTACTTGTCCTTTTTGGAATTTGCATTCTCCGACATGAGATTCAAGGCTTTTACTTCTTGAAACTTCAGAGTTACCAGTGTCAGAGGTAGCTACAGCGTGTGCAAGTGAAATCTGGGCAGCAGGACCGTGCTCTCTTGCATTGTCCCAGTCTGCTTCTTGGGGAGTCTGCTGTTTCTGTGCTGCTTCTGGCAGGATACCAAGCCCTTTGGTCTCAGAAATCAAATGTCCATTGCTTTCTTGCAGAGGCTCTAAGGAATGAAGGAGAAAATGTAGTGTTAGGTTACAAATGAAAACAGGCTGAGAAGAGAATGCTACTTGAAGTCTTTACCACGACTTGATCTGCAGTTCAAAGCCGTCTATTAAAAATCAAGTACAGGTGCACCTCATTTCCCAATGCTGTGCTCTGAGAATACACATGTATAGCCGACAGTAAAAGTCACATCCAAGGTATCAGTGCACCAGGACAAGAGTGTGAACCAAGTGGCAAGTTGTAAAGGCAAAGTGTAAACCTGTCCTCAGTCTCCCAAAATGCAGGTCATGCAAGTGTGCATCCAGGTCAGGCTACTTGGCTCATCAAAAATTGCTGTCCAAGATCTGGGACTACAGCTCAGTTGTAGAGCACGTGCTTACCATGAGCCCCTGGATTCAATCCTCAATGCCAAAAAAAAAAAAAGTTCAATGGGGCAAAGGGCTTCATGTCTACCCTACAGATCAGAAGAGTATACCCGCACATGCAGGTCAGGGGTCAGCTCTCCATAGACTGGTAGGCAGATCAGGAGCTGTCACTGGGGGAATTATTGCAAGGACAGCATGACTAGGCAAGAGTTGGAGGTGGACTGTTAGGAGAGAGAAACCTCTTCAAAGAGGACATAGGCGGCTTTTTTTTTTGTATCCCCTCCCACTGTACACTTTTTAAAAATGTCCTTTAAAATATACTATCCACGTCCCCTAACGACTCTTTCTTGCTTGACCACCTCAGGTAATCCAAGTGCTCCCTACAAGTCTGAAATGCAATCTTTGGAGGTGGAGTATGGAGGCTAGCCTTGTTTCGTTTTGCCTCTTTTTAATGGTAGGGTTGGAAGGGTGCACCAACAAATGTTCCTCTGAATTTTCAATTTTTCAACCTAAAACAGGCAAAAAAAAAAAAAAACCCAGCAGATAAATTATTCATCCAAAACCGATCGCAGGAAAGGGACAGAGCAGGTTTTCTTGTGGCTACAAATGAACACCACTCCACTGAAAAAAAAGTTCGCAGATGTCTGATTTCACCACTAGGCTGCTGTCCAGGCTCGGGCAGCTTGCCAAAGGAGGGCGCTGGAAGGTAAGGTTTTGTGCCAGTACTGCTGGCCTTGGGCACGTCTCTAAAATGTCGATACTAATCTACATGTCCATTCTATTCAGAGTTGAGTCCCCTGTTAAGAGTCCCTTCCAGAGTGGACCACTGCGTGGTGCCGTGAGGGGAACGTGGGAAGGCCTGTAGTTCTGAAGTGGGCGGCCAGTGCACAGCTCCGGAGCTTCACGGCCTCAGTCCAACTTGAACTTTGCCTTCCTGATAGAAGCGTCCACATAGCAGGGGGCGCTCACTGCCTGGTGTTCCCAAACCAGCTCTACCGTGGAGTGTGGATGGCAGGGCGTAGGACTAATGGATTCAGGACTCAGAAAATGTCCCCGCTCGGTAGGAGATTGAAGAGGGTTGTGAGATGCCCCCCAAATCTAAAGCGTCCTCTCCGAGAAAGGGGCGCTGTCGCTGCAGCCGCCCGCACTGCACCAAGCGCGCGTCCCCGCTGGGGGTGGGGGTGGCAGGAGCAGGTCCTCAGGGCCCGCGCCGAGGGCAGATTGCTGGGCGCGGCCCTGCGTGATAGGCAGGACAGCTCCTGGACTCCCTGGGTTCTTAGCACCAGCCAGGGAAAACCAGGGATGTGAGGAGGGTTCTGTCCCCGGTTGTGGAAGCTCGTCCGCGGGGACGGACGCCAGGAAAGCCTCCTCGGTGAACTTCAAAAACACCTGGCCGATCTGCCCTGGAGACCCGGGGAGAAAGAATACCTGGTTTGGTGACCGAGTCCCGCTTGGAAGGTCCACCGCCGCCACCACCCTGATCGCCTTCCGGAGCCGCAGCCTCCCCAAGAGGAGTGTTCTCCTGCTGCTCGGCGTCCGCGTCTTTCCCGGGCTCCCCAGGGCCGTCCCGCAGCAACCAAACCAAAAGCGCTCCCGCCAGACCCCCTCCGACCAGCAAGGCGGACCAGACGGTGCCCATGGCTGAGAAGCCGCGGCTGCGGGAGACGACGGGGACAGGGACGAAGGCTTGGTCACGCAGGCAGAGCCACTCCTGCCCCGCCTGCCCCGGCCTTTTACGGTTTCTCTGGAGCGCGCTCCAGTCGGCGCCCAGCCCTAGCAGACGCCCAGCCGCGCAGACCACGACTCAACTTTCCCAGCCCCGCCCTTGCCGGCCCCGCCCCCGGCCCGGGCTGGGCGGAGACTCGAGCGCCCTCCTCTCGCAGCACTGCGTTCCTAGCTCTGCCTGTGGCCCACGCCCACCCTGTAGCATCCCACTCGCGCCCGGTGCTAAAGAGTCCATGTGCGCACAGCTGCCGCGCGCATCCGAGTCCTCTCCGCGCCCTTTTCCCGCGCCAGTTGCCCCCGATGCCCAACTCTGACTCTCGCTCTCGCTCCCCACTGACAACTGCAGCGCCACCAGCCGGAGGCCAATCCCTTCCAGGAACTTAGAGGAGGGACAGGTAGCGCGCTCAGGTTGGGTGGGACAGGTGAGCAGGGCAACCCGCGAGGTGCCCCGAACTCAGTGGAACCTAGAGGCCTACTGGAAGCTCAATCCCCCCGCTAGTTAGCTGTGCCTGACCTCCCCTATCCCCTGCTCCGCTTGTAAAATAAAAGGATTGGTTTGAAGACCTGCCATCTGTAAAGGACAATCATCTCAGTCACGTCCTGGACTCTTTTTGGGGTTGTGTGGTTGCTGTGAAATGTGTGCCCACCTGTCTGAATTGAATGTTGTCCAGGGATGAAGCTCCTACAGATAATTATTAATGATAGAATAGCAACCCTTTATTTAGTACTATCTGTATTCCAAATGCTCTATGTATGTATTTAAAGAGAAGAGCGACGAATCACGCACATTTCTTCCTAAATTCACCCCTCTGCTTTACACACCCACCTCCAGGTGATGGTCTGTGCCTTATGTCTGAGCCAGAGCCTGTTCCTTGAACTATGCACTCTCAGGGCCAACTGTTGAAGGGCACAGCTGGCAAAGATCCGCCTTGGAATTAATGCTAAGGTGGCTCCCTCTAGGACAAGTCATTAAACCCAGGAAAGGGTTGTGGGATCCCCTGATTTATAGACATATAGCCAGAAGTAGGAGAAGCCTGGACTCTAGATTGGCCTCTGAAGTGGGGATGGTCTTGAGGAGCTGGGCCCTTTAATTTGGGGGATCTGACACTAACTCCGGGTACATTGTGTCAGAATTGGATTCAATTACGGGACACTAAGCTGGTGTTCACGGAGAGATGGAGAATTGCTTGGTGTGGAAGACTTCTCCCCACCTCCCAATTTTGGTGACCAGAAACAAAGTTTTTCGAGTAGCAGAGAGTAAACAGTATTTTCCCACTGTGCCCTTCCTTGTCATTCCCAGTGCCCTCATCTCGTTCAGGTTCAGGCCTCTCCTACCTCCATCTGGATGACTATAAGCACTGCCTAAGTCATCTGCTCTGGCTCCGGTCTGCTTTGCAGCCATTCCTGAGTCAACCCTCCTAAAGCAGAAGCGCTAGACGGCACTTCCTATCTCCAAATTAAATTCAACCCAATCTCTGCCTACAAAGTCCCCTAGGCCTTTACATTTATCTGGATTGCATCCAAATTGGAATTCCTCTGCCAGAACCTTCATGGGTGCTCAAATCATAATCTACTTCCTTCTGTGCAACTTCTTCCCAGCTCGAAATCCTACTCCCCACTCTCCGTTCCTCAAATTGGCATGTTGTTCTTTTACTTGAACTCTGAACGTATTGTAAATGTCTTAGAACAAAGTATGAGGTTTTCTCTTATGGTATGGGTCCAATTGCTTTTGTAATTTGTCTCATCCCACTTTAGATCATAAATTCCTTGAGGGCCAGAGCTTGTTTATTCTTTGTGTTCCTGGGAATGCAAAGTCTATCGTTGAGTAGGCCTCTTTTTTATTGTTGTTATTTATTGAATGCCTCCTACATGTTGGCACAAGGCTACGTGCTTCATATGGATTAGCTCATGCAATTTTCCCACAGGAGTAATCTGCCCAAGGTCACTCAGCTGACAAGTGACAGAGCTGGGATTTGAACCCCAGGAACCATGCTCTGAAACTCTAGTGATCCTGAATCCCGACGGCTCTTAACCCACGTCCAAATTTCAAGGCATAAATTTTAGAAGTGAGTGTGCAACTCTGGATATGTGACACCAGAGAACCCTTCTGGGAGGAGTCCAACATTGTGGACAATTTCAGACGTGCTCTTTGTTTGTAACTCTTCTCTCTGCAAGCCCTACCCCAGGGGATGTACTGATCACCGCCTGCACCTGTCCATGGCTGTCAAACCTCACTCCTGGGTCTCCAAGTAACATTCACAAGCAAGGCAGTCACATTGGAGCCGCCAGGCTTCAGGTTTCAAGAGACATTTTCTAACTGCAACTGTTTGCAGACCTCTGACTCATCTTAGTTCCAGAATAGACTCCAGGCCAAGCTGTTTGCTAAATGATGAAACCTTTAGAAAGGGAGAACCCATGTTGGAAAAACTAGCTCACTGTATAGAGAAAAAAATAAAGCTTCATTAGTACTTTGTGTCCCATATAATCATGGACTCCAAATAGTCCTAAATGTAAAGGTAAAACTGCAAAGCTGAAAGAAAAGAACCCAAGAAACTATCACTGTGACAATATTTAATTTTTTTCTGACTTCATCACAATAAGGCTATTTTGATATAATGGCATCCAGTGAAGGACGACATAGACAAAGTTACCAGATAGTTCCAGACGAACTGGTGAAGGAGCCAGGTGGTGGTATACACCTGAATTCCAGCACTGAGGAAGCTGAGGCAAGAGGATCAAGAGTTCCAGGCCAGCCTGGGCTACACAGTGAGACCCCCATCTCAAAAGCAAAACTAAACAAACCAAAACTGCCCAGGGATTAATGTCCAGATATACAATGAACTCTGACACATTGCTAAGCAAAAGGCATGAGGTCCAAGGATGCCCTTTTCCTCCGTGCCTGGAACATAGCAGGCACTCGAAGGAATGTTTGACTGAATAAAAGTAATAGATTCAGAAATGTCCAGACTCACTAGTAATTGAATAAACACAAATTCAAACAATGATTTTACACTGCACAATTTTACATCCATCAGAGAGGCAAATATTAGAAAGATGTGGCCCTGTGGTTGGGAAAATAAACAGGTACTAATATTCTGGAAGGACTTCATGAAATTTAAGTGGGCACATGGCCTACAACCCAGCAATCCAACTCCTCAGCATGTGTGGTCTGGGGCCAACTGGCTGCACATGGACGGGAAATAGCTAATGCACCTCTGTGAGTATACCTTATTTTAGTCAATTTCTTCCATTACTCTCCCTACCCTTTCCCTCCCACCCCCCCCCATTATTCAACAGCTTTCAGTACGTATCGTTGTATCCTCTACCTGCACAGATGTTATGTATTTTGATATCGTTGATGCTCTATCATTTTCTTTTCCTTTCCCTCCTCCTCCAAGTTCCATAGAGTAGTTCCTCTATTACAAATAAATATGTTCTACATGTAAGTTTGTGTATATGATCATGCTTGTGTTTGTGTATATGTTTATCTTTTGGATCTATTCCATGTATGAGAGAAAACATGTGGCCTTTGTCTTTCTGAAACTGGCTTATTTGACTTAACATGTCCTCCAACTGCATTCATTTACCTTCAAACTACATGATCTCATAATTAGTAATGAAAGACAGGACTGTAAGTAGGTACAGTGTATGTGTGTGGGAGGTGTGGGGGATGCTTGTGGGAGCAGGGAGGGTGAATAAAGGAGATGAAGGTGAGGGTATATGCTTGATAGACTTTATATACTTATATGAAATAGAACAAAGAAACCTCTTGCAATTGCTTTAAGTGGGGCAGGGAAGGAGTCAAGAGGGAGAGATAGTGGGGGTGATCTAACCAATGTATAATGTAAGCCTATTCGGAATTGTCACAATGAATCCCCCCTGTACAACAAATACATCCTAACAAAAACATGAAGGAAAAAATGTGTTAGATGCCTATGAGAGACAATGAGCACCCTATGGAGTGACCAGAGTCCTCCAAGGGAATGCTCAAAGCACATGGGGAATGAATGATGAGCATAGGGAAAGGGAGGCCTAGAACATGTCAGTCCTCTGTTGGGGATTGACCCCAAAGCCTCATGCATGATGGGCAAGAAGATGTGCTCCACCATTTAGCCACACCTTATTTCCTTCCTTCCTCCATTCCTTCCTATCTTCCTTCCTTCCTTCTTCCTCCTTTCTCCTCCCTTCCTCCATTTAGCTCTCTCTCTCTCTCTCTTTCTCTTTCTCTCTCTCTCTCAGAATTGACATATCTCAATCTTCTTGAGAGAGAATGAACTAGACACACCTAACAAAACCACGATGAGAAGCTGGGGTATCCTTTACCTCCTGTTTCTTGTCTTCTTTCTCTTCTCAGTATTATTCTTGAACCGTTTCCTGATACCACTCACCCAACCCAGGCACTGTAAATATTGTTACTGTTAAATTTTAGTAAAAAGAAAGCTAAAATAAATACAGTGAACCTTCCCTTCAATGAAAACAACTGACAGTTTGTGTTGCCACTGACAAAATTTTCAACAAAATTCCTGCCAAATACTGAAGTCTGAATAACTGTGTTTTATGTGTCATTTGTTCTTTCAAGTAAAAATTACGTATTTCATGAACAAAGAAGCTAATCTAGAACCTTGCAACTCAATTGTACAGGTGCTTTCTTTTGATATCCATCAAAGTTGCTTACTGTACACTTCTCATTTTGTTACACAGAATCTCCAAAACACATGTACTCCAAGGTTAATATTTATTAAAAATAAATATAAAATATTTAATAAAAAAAAGAGGAAGCAAAAGTGTCACGAGACCAGAGAATGGATTTGTAATGGGAAAATGTCATAGCCTGGCGCCTGCCCTGGAGGGTTTTGCTTAGCTCTTCCCTCCAGAAATTTTAACACTGCCTACTCAGCCCACACGGAAAGCAGGGCTATGGGTGTTACCATTGCTGTGGCCCAGGAGGAAAATGGGCTAAGTCACCAAGAAATACAATAGCCCAAACATTTTGTTTCTGAAATGTCCAAGCTCACCAATAATAAAAGAAATACAAATTAAAACAAAATGCCAATCTTTGTCA